GAGACGTCTATACTGAACCGTTCAAAACCCCTTTTCTCCGTATATTTAAACAATTTTTTTCAATAATTATTTATCAAAATCTCTCTAAATTCCGAGAGGACCGCTGGTCCCAGAGCATTTCTCTATATTTACCAAAAATTCCCGACTCAAAATATTCTTTTCTTTTTAAATGAGACGTCTATCACGAAACCAGTATTATTTCCCGGATGCCCTTAATATACTAAAAATAAAATTAAGTGCAAGCAGTTTTTTATATTTTTTTTTCAAAAAATTTTATTCACTCTTTTTCATAAAATTCAGTTTTCTAGATTCCAGCGTCACGCGCTACTCTTTCTTGTCATCCCAGTGCCCAGCAGGGTTGCCAGATTCCTAGTAACAAGAACCGCAAGTAGAAGGCGCTGATGTAGCCCAAAAACCGCGGGATTATTTGAAGCTAAAAAATGAGCAATAAAAAAAATGAAGCCTAATCCGAGATTTTTCAAATTTGATGTCATTCATATTATTAAAGAAAAAAGTTTTATTTTTTTAAAGAAAATGTTTATTTAAAATTTTTGTTAGCATTTATTCAGTAAATCTTAATTATTATATTAATTAAATAATTAAGTTTCTTATTTTCTTATTAACTGACAAATTATTATATTACTTAAATGTTTAATTGTTTGTATAACCAATAATAAAGTTCTTAAAAATTAACAATCAACATCGAATTAAATATTAATTATTAATTATAATTTATAATAGTGAAAATCTGAATACTAAAGAAAATTATCACACTAAAAGTCTTCAATTTTTTGTGCTGGTAGGCATAAATCGTTTAAAAAAATCATGCAACATTCGCGCATTGGTCGAAGTCATTTTCAAATAATTCTAGTAAATTGAGGCTCCCAATTCAAGAACCGGTCGGACGCTCGGACGACACGCGCAACTGCCAGTCAGTGAGCAGTGAGCGCCTCTGGGCCACTCACTGCTACCCGAATGGTACTATATGTTAATTGTTAGTAACGAAAACTAATCACTTTTATTTATACTCCAAATTTTAGTTTTGTCAAAAACGGCTAAGGTTCCTTTTACTGTGGAATATCACATTTAAATATTTATAAAATTATTATTTATAAAATATTTTAACTAAACTAGAATGTTTATATAATTTTTTTCTATTTATTTTGTATAACTCAATTATTTACTTTGAAAAATTCGGAATATTCTTTTTGGCGCTTAGAGCTATGAGAAAACCAGTTGTATATGTTTCAGTAAGAATGAAGTCGAGGTGATCCGGGACAGTTTTATAGGCATATTTTGCGCTATTGTCAAGAATCTATCTAAATATTATTCGCCTGTGTATAGACACTGTTGACATTCACATAACCAGCAGTTCGGCAAACAGAAAGACATATCTATGTAACACAAATACCGACTGTGGAACATATTAAAAATTAGTAGAAATTACTACCGCAGTATGGCGCTAATAGATTTTTCTTACTGAAATTGATGACTGTAATAAAATACAAACTTTTTTTTGTTATTTTTAATAAAAGTAAAATTACAGCTCTGTAAAGCAAAAAAACGCGGTCATTGAGAAATATATAGCCCAAATCGCTGTTTGTAGCGATAACAAGATTTAGGCCGCGGAAACGGTGCAAAAGACAGCCCAAATCGCGGTTTATAGCCCAATCTGGCAAGCCTGCTTACTACTTACTATTTATTAGTTCAGTAGTGTGTAGTATTTGTTTTGTAGTATCTAAAATATATACAAATGTGAGTTACATAAGATATTTCCATGAAATTCCTTATGCAAGATTCGATAATTATAGTGAAATTATATACTCCTCGCACATCAAAAGAGAACTTATAGGTATGTTCTGAAAACAAGTTTTTGAAACAGCTTGTGGCAATGACTTAAAAATCTTTACTCCCGACTTTTTTTAGGGTCGTTGCGATTACGAACCTGATATCATATTTTCAAAATTCAAATCCATGGATTCAACCAATTCAATATGTGTCAAAAGAAGTTTTAAAAGTTTATCGAAGTCTTAATATTACCTCGAATATTACTTAACATTAATCTTACACTACTCAAAACATTACAGGAACCTTCCACGGAATTTTTATTCAGCAGAATTCTCAATTAACGGAATGAATATTCGTCATTATTATAGAATTCTTACAAATATAAATGAAAGAGATGTTGAACAAGTTGAAGAACTCAAGTTTCCGTAGAAGGTTCTTGTATTTCCTATAAGTTACAACTTTCAAGCGAATTCGATAAATTCTTAAGTATATCTGACGCTTTCCAGTGAAAGGGATCTTACGCGACAAAAAATTTTAGGTTATGTTTAGAAAAGTATTTGCTTGATTTAACATTCATTTTTAATTATTTAAAGTCGAAAATAAGTTTTTAAAACTATTTTATGAACCAAATAATTAAGAACAATTGTTTTAGACTTCAAGTAATTAAAGATGAATGTTTAATCAGGTAAAAACATTCCTGTATATAACCTATATTTTATTATAGAAAAAAAATACTAAAAGCAGTCGTTAAAGATTTAGAAAATCACGATGTTTGATTTTTAAACAAGCTTTTCAGAGAATTTTATTAAGGTTTTTTTTATTTAAAATCCAGTATTTGAAATAAGAAATTTACTAGATTAGATATGAAAATTATTATTTCAATTATTCATTTTTTAAAATCAAAAAAATTATGCATTAGTTAACAAAAAAAAATGTTTTAAACAAAAAATCAGTGCTAAAAACTTTCATTAATTTTTCTAACCGAAACTCCTCTATTTTGAAATTTTTTATTTCTGTAATTTTATGAAAAGCTTGATAGCTATTAAAGCTTGTGAGCCCCTTCAGTTATTATAATGAAACTGGAGAACGTCTGCGCCTGTAATTCGGCAACCCGATAAGTTCCAGATTATAAAAGAGCAATCAAAGTGAAATTTCCATTTAGAAATAGGTATCTTTTAATCGTGACATTTTTTTTATAATTTCGTATGAAAACCAAGAAAATACAAATTTTTTTATTTGATAAAAATTGAGGGTTCGAACGCACGCGCTAATGCTAGTCGGGGAGCAGTGATTTAAAAAAAAAATTAATCAAACTTTACATACAACTTTTTTCTGAAAAAATATTTCCAAAATTTTTAAACAGTACAAGATAAGTAACTTTTGTTATTATCGAAATAAAATTGATTTGTATGATCGCATACCACATGAGAACGACTTAAGTTTAAAAAAGTTTTAAAAAATTCTATAAGTCAAACTATAATTCAAACACAAAGAAATTATTATAGAAAATAATAAAATTAATTTAATTGGCTAAAAATATTGTTCAATCAGGGAATTGCAAAAAAATAATGATAATAGAAATGACTCATAATTGACTCAAATATATATATGCGGTCAATCGACAAATATTACCATTATTTATATTATATAACCATTATTTTCAATTTTTTTTCTTCTCATTAAACGATAGCAAAAATATGACATAAATTCAATCCCTCGCTTTAGTAGAAAAAAATTTTTCCAAAATTTAATTTAAATAAAACGGATTTTTGAATGATGATTATCTTTCGACTTTTTAAAATATTTAACAAAATAATAAATTTAGATATTATATTCCATTGATTTTTAATAAAGTTGGTCACTATTTAACTAGAGATTGCAATACTTTATATGACACAGTAGATTTTTCGCATAAATTTTAATGATTTGGCGAATAATATTGTGACAATATATTTTTTTTTAAATTAAAACGTTCATATTTTTGGCTAAAATTATTTATGTATTTAAATTTATTATCTCAGCAGATGCATATTCATATTTGGAATTTTAGTTAATTTTAGAATTAAATTATCAGTTTATTACTACTGCTAATAATTTATACAATACTAATATGACATTGCATTTTAGATTTATTTAGAGAATTAAAAGAAAGCATTGATGAAAATCTGCAAAATCTATAAAAAAAATTTCATTGAATCCTAAAGCCTATTCAACTCTAACTTACAAAGTGCAAGTATGTGCTGGTGATCAATCATTCATGCAAACTTTTAGAACTAAATTTACAAAATTAAACTAAACAGAAAATAAACAGGACTGGGATATCTTAAATATTTTCCTGTACGAGAATTAAACTTTAATTTTTTTACTTATATTGATGAAAAAAGCAAAAAAGCATGGGTCCTTTCATCAAAAAACGTCAGAAATATTTTTGATTTTTAAAGTAAGGGTCAAATTTTTAATTTTTTCAAAAAATTCATAAACCATTGAAAAGAGTGGAAAAAAATCCTTCGAAAACAGAGATAAAAATTTGTTTCATGCTGTTTTATAACAGAAGCATTCTGTCAAAAATCTTCTTTATGTCAGCTTTGTAGTAAATCTTTGGAACTAAAAATTTCCAAAATCAATATTCCGCAGTTATGATAGTTGCATTTTGGAACTGAGTGGAATTAATTTCGGAATAGAAATTGCATTTTGAGTCCAGTCTGATTTTATTAAAAATAATTGATGATTTCCAGGATGTAATGAATATTGTAATTTTTCTGCAACTTTATGTTTCTGAACCCAAAGACAACTTGTTAAGAATAACAAAAGCATCAGATTCCTAAAGTTCTTGTTTAAAAACACAAACAAATCAAATTGATATTATAATTATACAAAAACCAATTTTTTACATATCATGTAAAAATCATCCGACTAAGACATTTGGAGATTTTTGAAAAATCATCAATAGTTTTTCATTGAGTTTCAAGTCCACGAGGAAAAATGATAATATACTTTACTCTAAATTGTTAATTAACGTATGTTGATAATTTTTCTTTCTACAAAAACTAGATGACTATTTATTAATTAACAGTTGTTTAGAGCAAATACCATGGTGTGAATTTTTCTCTCAACATTTTTTAATTCCCTTTCATTTCCACAGTCGGTAAATGTTGAGAGACTAAACGTACAATTTTCGATTTTGTTTTGAACTCGTCTGCTTGGTTGGCATTGAGACATAGCCATAGCCATAAGGTGTTTCTGCTTTAGTCATACGCAATCCCTTGTGGAAAGAAAGTGCGGTGAAAGGACAACTATAAAAGAATCAAAAATTTTCACCTTCTTTCATAGTGTTCGTTATTCATTCTCATTGTCATCATGAGTCTTAATATTTTAGTTAAAATAAGAACTTTTGAGAGTACTATTTTACGAAAAGCTGCATCAGCTCGTAATTTAGAATGGACAAATTTATCCAGATGTCTAAGGTGAGTAATTTTTTTTCACAAAAGGAAAATAAATACTCATTAACAGGTGTTGACAGGAAAAACATAGAAGACCCGGTTTGCGATAAGTTAAAAATACAGTATTCAACTATGTCATGAAATGTCTTCAACCACAAACATTTCTTTTTCATTTCTGCGAAAAGTCGATACCTTTGTTTATGTTTTATCAACTTTTTAACAATTCTTTCTTCTTTTTAAAATGACTATTTTCCACAAGTACCTAATGTATTAGGTTACACGAAATTATTTTAAAATTGTAAAGTTATTTTTAAAAGCTGTCTTGTTTACTTACACTCATATTCTGGAGGCATATCTATTCTTATCTCAAAATAATTTTCAATCTCTTTTTTGTTGCATTTATTTTAAATATAAAAAAATAAATTACTTGATGCATGAAAAAAGGATTTTTGTTCTTTGTTTACATAAGTTTTTATTTTCCTACTTTTTTAAAAAAATACAGAAATTATTTTTTTTTAAATTAAAAATTTTTAGCCAACCAAAAAATAATTGCATGAAAAATTGAAAATTAACAAATTTAAAAGATAAAAATCAATTTTTCTTTGAATAATTTTTTACTCTGCGACAAAAAAACGGCGAATGACTTAATAAGAAAGAAGGAGCAGGGAAGACAAAGAAAACACTTGAAATACATATGTAAAATAGAATAGAAAATTTGAAATTTAAATTAATCTTTATTTTAAAATATGACACTAAAGCAAGTCAGAATATATTTTTAAAAAAAAGAAAGATTTGTAAAAATCTCAAAAATCAATACTTAACTGATAACAATGGCTAAACGGAAAATATTCAAATAATAGATAATATTAATTATTTAAATAATAATCAGATACGTTTCACTATTTTTTTTTATTTTTTACTACATAAAAAAATTGTTGTCATATTTCTAAAAAAGATATGTCTTGGAGGAAAATTTCTTTTTAAACATCAACGAACAAAGTAAAACGTTAACAAATTCTTGGAGCATGATTAAGAATTTAATTTCATCTAAATAATAAAAGAAAACTACTGTAACTAATTCAATCATAGTTCATTTCTATCAAGGTTAATAAGCCCCTCTACGTGCGATAGGATTTCTTCAATCCTAATCTTCAATGACTTAAGAAGTTGCACCACCGTTGCGTAGAGCCTTCTTTGATGATAACAGAAATGGTAAAACTGTTTAAAGAGTTTAAACTGTTTAAAGAGAAAAAACAAAAAAAAATCATCAATTTTTTTGATAAATCAATGGTTGGTCATGTCAGAAAATTGCAAGTTAAAAGAAAGAAAATATTTAAAGAACTACAACAAAGACTATGAATCAGAATTAATACGACAATGAAACTTTTGTGCGTTGCTCCAATAATATCTTACATCTTACTCGCACTCATGCTTCTCTTTCTATATATATGATTCAGAAATAATTACTGTACATCTGACAATAAAATTTTTATGTATATTACTCATAATTATATACATTTGAAGATATAAAGAAAATAATGTTCCTTTAATCTTTACCTCAAAGAACATTTTTTTCCACTACCTTTGTGTAAATGGCATATAAATATCCTTTACAGCATACAAATATCCCGAAAAAATGATAATAGTTACTAGAACTGAAATAATAAATTCCAATTATGTTTTTCAAAGAAAGTTTTATTAACTGCAATTTATTATTTTTCACACAATTTAAATAAATGAGCAATTCTATGTGAACTGATACAATAAAAAAATAGATTTTAAAGGATATTGTTTTATTCAAATTGACATATTTTTTAGAAAAATTAAGCTTTCTTAATTTTTATACCTATAGTGAATTTTAAAGTTTTTGTGTACTTTTCAATTCCAGAACCCTTTAAAAAAAATTATTTAGATACCTAAACCCTCATTTTTCAAAAATAAAGCTTATTTTTCAATTTTTACAGCAACTGCCTCTTGTTTTTTCTTTATAATTTTTATTGAAAAGCTGAGATTTTTTCCAGTCAATTGTGTAAAGATAAAAGATGGAACAACAATGGGTTTTCAATAAAATAAATAAAAAGTATTTAAAAAGATGGTTTTTTTTACTTTAATGAAAACCCATAATTGTTGTCTCATATTTAAAATTTACATAAATGAGGGTCCCAATCAAAGAACCCGTTATAATTTTTTTAAGCTCAAAATCATTGCCCTGTAATTCAAAAATTAAACTGTTTTTTATCCCAATTTTTTGAGAAACATAATCTTTATACAAATACGAAATGTTTTTAAAAAATTGAAATTTTAAATTCTTTTCTTATTTAGAGGACGAGAATTTTGAGCCTCAAAAACTTATAACCGGTTCTTTGATTAGGACCCTCGCAATTTATTGGAAAAAAATCTCAGCTTTCTAATGAAAATGATAAAAAAAAATTTAAAAAAGAGGTAGTTTTTGTCTAAATTTAAAAATACGGTTTATTTTTTAAAAAAGAGAGATTAAGAAATTTTTTTTTTTTATAAAAGAGTTTTTGAATTGAAAAATTTACGAAATTGCGATTAATATAAAAATAATTGTAGGTACAGAATTATTAGTTAAAAAAATGAAAAATTCAAATTATCAAACATTTTAATTACAAACCTTTTCAATATTCAATTAGTTCTAAAAATTGACGCTGTAATTCTTTTAATATTCAATTATTACCTAAAATTTTAAATGAAATTCATGTTTAAATCAATTCTTATTTGAAAATTCTACGAGAATACAAAAATAAAAACTTTATTACGTAATTGAATGATTCTTAAAATTGAATTCTTATAAAGAATTTTATCAACAAATTTTTAAATAATTGAATTCATTCGTCGAATTTCAATAAAATTTTTAAGAATAATTACATTTTTCGAGAAATTTGATGAAAATTGTATTAAAAATAATTGAAATTCTGTGATGAGTTTTATTATTTATGAAAATAATTGAATTCCTAAAAAGAATTTTACTACTTATGTATGAAAATAGTGGAAGTATTGTGAAGAAATTTAAAAAAAATTTGTAAATAATTGAATTCCTGTGAAATTTTTATTATTTATGAAAATAATAAAATGTTTTCCTACAATTTTATTAAAATTTTTTTAAATAATTAAATTTTTCTGAAAAATTTTATTAAAATAGTAGAATATTGAAAATCATTGAATTAAAAATTTTTTTTTAAATAATTGAAATTTTGTCAAGAATTGTATTAAAAGTTTTGAAAATAATTGAATTTCGAAAAAAATTTTTATTATTTATAAAGATAATTGAAAATTTTGATGATTTTTTTTTAATTTTTGAAAATAATTGAATGTCTGCAATCAGAAATATATATATATAGTATAGGTCCACTCTATATGTATAGGCTAACTGATGGTTCAATTGGATGCATAAGAAAATAATAACTTATTAACACAAATTTAAATTAAACATTTTTTAGCAAAAAAAAAAATTTTTAATTCTTCAATTGTAAATAATTCGGAATAATTTATTAAATTTTCAATGACATCTGTACTTTATTTAGACCAATCGATTTGCCGCAACGGAAGGAGTCTAATATTCTATAATATCTGCACTCAAAAACTAAAGAAAATGTTTTATCAAAAAATTGGATTTTTATATTTTTAAAATAATTTTTAGTAAAATTTTCATTTTGTCCATTTATCAAGATGGAAAGGACATTATTTAATTTTCTAAATAGAGAAAAATTTATTTTATGGATTTTAAAAAATTTATATAATTTAAGCTTCCTTCATGAGGTAGCGCAGAAGAAACTAAAAATATAGGATTAGAAAATCTAAAATTTTTTTTTGTTGTAGAATTAAACTTTACTTTTTTTACTTATGGCATTGAAAGATTTGAAAAGGTAAATAAATCCATTCCATTTTTGGAATACAAAAAGTTCAATGTCATTTATTTCGAAAGGAATTGTTTGGGGATTAAATAATCTAATGCGTATTTTCTTTATAATGAAAATCGTTTACTTTGTCTGATGAAACTTTTGGAATTAAAAAAATTTACGAAATCTACTCTCTAAATTTAAATAACGATCTGTGAATAGAATTTTTACTGATTCAATTAGATTCAGTTATTACTTGAAATTTACTAACCCAATTATAGTGAATGGTTATTTTTATTTTATTTGAATCAATAAATTTCTATACTAATTGTCAGCTACTTAATTCTGCCTTTAGCAATTAGTGAAATTGCAATTTGTAAAATTAGCAGAAATTTCAGTAAGTTTAAAATAACTTATTTCATAGAAAAAAGTAAGGTATACTGATTCAAATTTAGTAATATTTCTACTAAAGCGATTAATTACACAATAGCCAACATTGTTTTTTTATTTTTGATATTGGATTAGTTTCCAATTTATTTTTGTCCACTGAACACGATTCCAGGTTTCGAAATTGCCTAGCACGTCAGAATTTTGAGAAAAGTGGGGGGTGAAGTAAAAAAAACTTGCTTTTGGAAATTTTTAATTTTATTTTTAACCTGACGTGCTCGAAACTTTCATAAGATCTTAAAATAAAATTTGATAAAGTGCAATTTAAGACCCACATGCGCAAGATAAAAAAGAAGAGAATTTTGAAAAAAAATGGGGGTAAAGACTTTTAAAAATACGTTTTCTGAGTTTTTACCCTCACTTTTTTCAAAATCCTGAAGAGCTAAGCAATTTTGAGACCTTGGATCGTGTTCTGCGGATAAAAAAACATTAGAAACTACTCCGATATCAAAAAAATCATAAAAATTTCATTTTTGAATTTCTGCCCCCACTTTACTCAAAAATAGGGATTTTTGAAGTTATTTTTGATATCGGAGTGTTTTCTAATGTATTTTTGTCCGCTGAACACGATTACAGGTTCCAAAGTTGCCCAGAACTTCAGGATTTTGAGAAAAATGGGGATCAAGACCCAAAAAATGTGTTTTTAAATATTTCTACCCCCACTTTTCTTATGCATTTGGATCTTAAAGGGCACGTTTCAAACTTTAATTCAAGACT